CCAGATTCCTCTTGGAACCCTCTCAGAGTAGGGACTTGGGCCCTCTGACCCTTTCTCTACAGGCTTTTCCCAGGCTGACCCAGGCAACACTTCGTTCAGGGTTCTGTGGGTAGAGAGTACGTGAGGTGAGCAGTGGGCACACGGCAAGGATACGCCCCAGGCTTTCCTCTCGAGTGGGCAGGCATCTTAGAAGGAGTACTATAGGAGTTAAGAACACTTGGCCCTGCTCCCAAGCTGGGACTCACTAGCAGTGTCACCTGGCCCTGGCCATTGAAATTGGCCTCCTTGGATCTTACCCTTACCATCTATGCCAGAAAAGGACTGCATCTCTAAACACTCCTGCCAACCTGAAAATGTAGATAAATCCAAAGGGAGAGTGAAGAGACTAGAAACACATCTAAAGAGAGGTGGTACTAGAGCATGAATCCTCTGGCCTCAGTTTCTCCTCCTCCATCAGATCACTGAGCAGCCCAGTCCCCCTTCTGCATAGCCAAAGCAGGAACAGAGGCCAGCCTCAGCCCTCCTTTCTTGTCTGTGCCTGATTCTACCTCCCTGGGAGCCCAGATGTTGTTCTCACATCCTCTAGAGTTCCTGTCAGCCCCTCTTCTCTCCTTCCCTGCTGTCAAGGAACTGTTTGCTCATTTGCCTGCAGGGATAATAGCTATTAAGGGTTCATTTCCTAAGAGAGAGACTTCTAGTGACCCGTGTAGCAGGCACTGTCCTCTCCCATTTGGAACTGACTCTCTCCTGTTTTCTCTCTGGCTGTGCCCTCCCACCTTCCCCACCTACCCTTTCCCAGGTTCGATCCATTAGCACCAACGTCCGGAGAAACCTGGCCTTCCATACACTCAGCCAAGAAGTCCTGCTCAAGGAGTTCTCCACTATCTCCTGAGGCCACGCCTAACTGAGCAGCCTCTGACTGCCCTTACCCATGAGGATCATGGGCTGGAGGGGGAGTGAGGGGAGAGGGGGCTGCCCCCGAGGTTGCAGAGAAACACAGATACCAAGTTCTCTTGGTGAAGACTACACTTCAGTGGAGCTCGGGCAGCAGGGGCAAGAGGGTCAAGCCAGGGATAATCTTATTTGGGGAGGAATGGGTGGGCACAGTGGGGAGAGGCCTCCAGGAATATGGGGACTTCCAGAGTGGGCTCCCTAACAGCCCCTTACATTTCCAATCTTGAGGTTACAAGCTGTAGCTACTGACTAATTCTCGGGAGCTGGTGAGGCAAGCCTCAGGGTAATGCCAGCACCCTGAGTCAGTGGCTCTGCTCGGCTTCTGAAAACAGATGAACTCTCAGATACAGCTGGAGCTACATCCTGCTTCCTTTGGGCCTGGGGCTGTGCTTGGCTTGAAATCTATGTCCCCTGCCCCCACTGGCACTTTGTCCAGTCATCAGGACCCTTGGCTCAGATTTAGGGTAGGGTAGGAATGGGGTACCTTTCTCCTTTTTTTTTTTTTTTTTTTTTTTTGAGATGGAGTCTCCCTCTGTCACCCAGGCTGGAGTGCAGTGGTGTGATCTCAGCCTTACTGCAGCCTTCGCTTCCTGGGTTCAAGCGATTCTCCTGCCTCAGCCTCCTGAGTAGCTGGGACTACAGGAGTGTGCGCCATGCCCAGCTAATTTTTTGTATTTTTAGTAGAGATGGGGTTTCACCATGTTACCCAGGATGGTCTCAATATCCTGAGTTCATGATCCACCCACCTCAGCCTCCCAAAGTGCTGGGAGCCTAGATGTTCTTCTCACATCCTCTAGAGTTTGTTCCTGTTAGCCACCGTGACATGACCACCGTGCCCGGCCAGTTTTCCTATTTTCTGAATTCAGAGTTGACTCCTCTGGGAAACTGGAGATGAGAATCTGCCCAGTGCTCTGCTCTCTGGCCACTGCCTTTTGAATTTTAGTGTTGGCACTAGGAGTACCGTTATCTTTCCCCTCCTTCTGACCCATTTGACCCATCAGCACAATAGGGTCACAACCTTAACTTTTCGTTTCTAATCTCATTTACTCTGTCTTTAGGGTATGTATGAAATAAACATTGACAGGTTTTCTGGAACCCTCAAGGTGCCTACTTTGCTGGTTCCCTTTCCAGCAGCTCCCCTGCCTCCCTAGCCCCCCCTCCTCTGGCAGCCTCTCCTGCCTCTGCTAAGCTCCCCTCCACGTGTTCCACCCCCTTACCCTGCTGTTGTTTACATCCAACCTGCCTGAGAATTTCCTCTGGGGAGGAATCTGTTCCTGTCATGGTCTAGTGCCTGGGAGGGAGAGAACTTTCTGGGGGTAGGGTGCCCTCCATCTGAAACAGGCCAGGTGAGCATCATGCATAAGGCCTCTATTCTGTCCACTCAGATTCTGGGTGGGGCCACAGGCAAATCTGACTTTTGGGGAGTTGGCTTGTGCTTCCTCCCTTGGATAGCTTCCATGGAATCTCTATAGGCTTTCCCCACAGCTGCCTCTGAAATAGCTGCTGCTTCGAGATCCTCCCTTTTTAAAGCACTTTCTAAAGCCCTCAGGATGGTGGGAGCAAACAGCACCGGTATATTCTAGGAATAAGTGGAGGAATTCAGCAGTGAGAGCATGTCTGGGACCACCTGGGCTGCTGTCCATTTAACCTAAAATCTGTTTGGGTTACTTGCCCTCCCTGGCAACCAGAGTTCTGACTCTAACATTAAGCAGCTATGCGCTAGTTCCAGAGAATCCACTAACAGGCTGCCATGTGTAGATGTAGGTTCTTAAGAGATCACAGGCTGGGTCATCTGATCACTGAATGGATAGCTCAGCCTGGGACATTTAGTATTTTCCCTGGTGATAAACCCCCAAAGCAGCTGGATCTGAAGCTGGTGGCAAGTTGAAATTATTAAAAATTGATTTGTGTGGGACTGTCTTTAGTGTTGCCTTTTTTTTTTCTTAATCTCTGTTGCCCAGACTCATTCCTCAAACATAGAGGTAAGGTAATCTCCTAGGTGTTGCTCCCATCTGGCTAGGGGACCCCTACCCACCCTTGTGAACTCTCCTCCTTCCTCTGAGTCTCCTGGCCCTAGTAGAGGCCAGTTGGGTTCACAGAGCTGTAACCTCCCTTGCCCTCTGGGTAGAAGGAGGGAGAAGGGAGTTAGTTCCCTTATCTCCAAACATAGTGGTATTGAGGAGGCAAGCCAACCCATTTGGCCAGTTCTGGATTCCTGCCAGCCTTTCCTCCAAGTGAATAAGGATGAGTCAAGGGCATGGGGCACTAAGCAGAGGGCTCCTTGCCCTCCATTGTAAAGGCCCTTCTCTTTACCAGTTTATTCACATATACCTATTCCAAGAACTCCAAATGAGAGTGTCCATTCTCTCCTGGAAAACAACCTCAACAGGAGCTGCCCAAGCACTTTCTATGCCCAGCTTCTATGCCAGGTCTGTGGAGGCTCCTCCAGAGCCAAGGGAGAGCCAATCGCAGGGCACTGCTCCTAAAGACAATCTTACCCTCAGCCACTTGTCCCCCTCTTAGGCTGGAACTCCCACCACAATTCCTGCTGGATTGATTAAATCAAGTGGTTAGAAATTAAAGCTAATTGAAGAAATTAAGTGTGCTTGAGTCACTTTAAAGTTTTTGGTCTTAACAGGTCACTCCTTCAGACCCACCAGACAAGGGCCGCTCATCCTCATAGCAAGGGGTTGGGGGGCTTTTGGGTGCGGAGCCCAGAAGCATCCTGAGGAAGGGCAGACCTGTGGAGCTCAAACATTCAGGATCCATTCCTGGGAGATGAGGGAGCCCAGCTTCTGTGCTAGCCCTGCCTTTGGAAAAGGAGCTAATCTTAAAGAAGGGGTTTCATAACAAGGGCATTTCTTTCCTACTGTATATCTGGACTTGGATCCCCAAACCTGTCAGTCGCTCCCCAAATCTGCTGGAAAACAAGGAATCTAGGACAGGACAGGTGACAGAAGAGAAGGGCAGAAAAGTTACTGCAGGGGAGGAACAAAAGAGCAAGGATATCTGAGAAACTGACATGGTTCACTAGTTTTCTTATCTTCCTAGTCGGTCTATTGGGGGCCATTAGATCAGTGAAGGAGGCACCCTGAGAGTGAATAGGTTCCAGAGACGGGGTCGTGGAGTGGGTGAGAGTTAGGGTCCTTCTGGAACTTGAGAGAAGACGAAATAGTAGTCCATTGGCTCACGATGAGCCTGCTAATATTAGAGGCTGGGTTGACTCTTCCTTTGCATCCCTATCCTGCTTTAAGCACGGTGGGGACTGTCTGGGACCACGAGAGACGCATACATGGGAGGAGGAACAACAGAGAAAATAGAGGCTGACATGGAGGCAAACGGAGCGGGGACTCAGAGATGATACCCCAGGCTCTGCCTCAGCCAGAACTGTGTTGACGAAGGGGGAAGGGAGAAGGGGTGCCTGAGAATTAGGGGCGGGGTTTCCTCTCAGTGTGGCTCTTCTGTCCCGCGCTCTTCTCCACCCTCCCCCCAACAAGCCCCGTGACTTTTGGTTTAGGGGCAGATTGCTGGGGAGCTAGTCTCCTTCCCCGCACTTTGCAGTTCACCCTTTCACCGGGTGCCTCCCCCGGGCTGCAAGGGTGGGGGCGGGGGCAGGGGGAGCCAATCCCGGCAGCGCCAAAGGGGGGAGGCGGCGGTGACAGCCGCGGGGAGGGGGCGGGAGGAGAGAGGCGGCTTGGCTCGGCTCCGCGCTCAGCTCCGCTCTGCCTCCGGCTCTGCGCTCACCTGCTGCCTAGTGTTCCCTCTCCTGCTCCAGGACCCCCGGGTAGACCTCAGACCCCGGGCCCTTTCTCAGACAGCCTCAACCCGAACTCCCCCAGCCCCGACAGTGCACTAGGCCGCCAGGGGGCGCCGTGTGAGCGCCCTATCCCGGCCACCCGGCGCCCCCTCCCACGGACCGGGCGGGAGCGGGGCGCCGGGGGCCATGCGGGGCCAGGGCCGCAAGGAGAGTTTGTCCGATTCCCGAGACCTGGACGGATCCTACGACCAGCTCACGGGTGAGTCAGTGACGTGGGGGTCGCGGGAGGGAGGGTGGCTTCCTCCACACCCTTCCGTCTCTCCGACCCCGACCTGGCCCGCACCCACACTCTGCCCCATTCCCAGGCACTCTTCTGGCAGGTCTGGGCGGCAGGACACTGGGGTTCAAAGCCTTGGGTCCCGCAGGGGTTGGGGAGGAACAGAGGAGGCAGGTGTGGAGAGGCAGCAGGTGTGGGCGTATGTGACACAGGGCTGGGAGGGTGTCTGGAGTGGGAGGTGTTACGTGCGTGAGTGCCTGTCATTCTGTGTGTGTGTGTGTGTGTGTGTGTGTGTGTGCGCGCGCGCCTCCCACAGCTGGTTGCCATGTGCCCTGGGCTTGGTGACAGCTAGGGTGAGTGTGATTGTATGTGGCAGTGCAACTGTATGGTCTCGTCAGATATTTGAGGTTGCATAGGACCCTGGTTGTACTGATGAAGTTGTTTTGACCATGTGTCTCTGTTATATGTGCAATGATGTGTTTTGAGTGTGTAATTCTGTATGAAGTGGTGTGTAACTACCAGAGTGTGTCAGGGCTCCACTTTAGGGTGGCTTGTCTCTTTGTAGACTTCATGACCATAAGCCCTCTGGGCAAGCATTTGTTAAAGTAGGTTGTGTTGTGTTTTGTCATTGTGAGATTAGTGTTTGGTGCTAGTTGTGTACTTTCATGTGGTGATGTCTGCAGCAGGGCTCTGTGAGTGTCCATGACGTGTCTCATCCTTGCTGCCTCTCCGGCTTCCTGGTACAGATAGGGGTCTTTAGTACACCCCACTGCTTCACCAAGTTTTCCGCAAATAGCCCAGGTGGACCCAAGGAGGGACTCTAAGTGTTCAGCTGCCCAGCCTGGTTTCCAAGAGACCTTATGGCTCTAGCACCTAGCCCCTGTAGGAAGGCTTTAGTTAGTGCTGGGTCAGCCCTCTCTTCCCACACCAAATCATGTACTCAGATTATTCTTACAACTGAATCCTTCAACCCCCAACAAACCTTTCAGAACTTCACTCAAACCCCAGGAAAACACATCCTCTTGCTTCTTCTCCAGAGCCAGAGCTAGAAGCTCTAGGCTTGGGAAGTTCCATGTGATGTCCTGTATGTCCCCCCAAACCACTTGGCTGCCTGGGCATCCTCTCTTTCCCACATGGGGAGGTATGTGAGACCAGGACATCTGTGCATGTGCATGTTCCTGGGTTTGGTAGGAAGAGCCATGTGTTTGTGTAGGTGACTGTGTCACCCTGCGTACATTTCCATGTGTGTGTTTGTGTCTCTCATTGTGCAGCCTGCTCTAGAAAGCCAGCAGAGTGGGAGGAGGGAGGCTGTCTCCCTGAGGCCAAAACAAAGCTGGGGAGGTGGAGGGAAGCCATGATCCTTGTCCTTCCTGAGGGGAGTGAGATTGAGACCTGGGAAGGGGGAGGGGACTAGGATGAGGTGCCTTGAACATGTGCCTCCCCCCACCCCCCGTCACTGTTCCTGGGAAGGCCCTAGTCAGGATCAGGGGAGCCACTCAGGCTGGCCCCAGATGAGAGAGCATGCCAGATGCCCCTCAGAGCTGGATGGAATCCAAAGGGCCCGCTGTCCAGCACTTCCATGAATTCTGTTTCCACCTCCATCTTAGAATTCTTGAGGGTAGTAAGGGCCTAGGGGCCTTCAATACCATCACATTAAGTCAGTGTTTGCTTCCAGCTTTAAGGGGTTCTCCCGCTTAATGAAACCATCCCTTCCGCACTTAGCTATTTGAATGAGACTGGGTGGCGGAAGCATTTGTATTTGGAGATGCCCTGCCTCAGGTCAGTCAGGAATAGAAGTGTACCAACTATGTGACTTTTGTTTTCTTGGCCTCACCTTTCTCATCTGTAAAAGAGAATGTTACTTCCTGGCTGCCTACCTGCCTCCCAAGGAAAATGGAAAGGTCAAATGTTGACAAGCGTCAAGAATCGTGGTACGGGTCTACAGCAGCCTAGCTCCACACAGGACTTGGAAAGTAGACATAGGACTACCAGGAGCTCTCATCTCTAAGGGCGGCTTATTTTATAGTGGGAAACAAATCAGGTTGGGACGCCAGTGTTAACGAAGACTCTGGGCGGGCGGGCGGGCGGGCGGGCGGCGCCAAGCGCTGAGTGTTGCGAGATGCCTAAGCTGAAGCACGAAGGGGAGTCGTTGTCCGCGGTGCTGAAGCGCGCGCCAGGCCTCGCTTTCCCTTGCCTGCAGGTGGGATTCCTGGGATCAGATTTAGGGTAGTCTCCAGCTCCCGTCATCCTGTCCCATCAGGCTTGCAGGGAGGCAGCTGGAAAGTTACACCTCAGGGCATCCTGGGTACCTCCGACCGTTTTGCTTCCCCACTCCCAACCCAAAGCTCAAAACGGAGCTGGGAGACTCTTTAGGAAAACAAAACAAAACACAGTCCGAGCCCCACCCGACCCCTGTCTAATCCCTCGGGTCTTCCCAGCCCAGTGGGGCCGCTGGGCAGTGCGGTTCCGAGGGGAAAGGCTACGTTTAGCGGCGGCCCTGTCTGAGTGGAAGAGAGAAAGGCCAAGAGAAGATGCGGAGAGGGTTGGAGCCTGACTGGCCAATCCTGAGCTCGGTCCCCGAACTGGGATCTCTCCTTGGAGTCCCTCCGGCCCTGAGTATTGTTCCCGGGGCGGGGGTGCCCCCGTGTGGCTGCGAGGAGCCATGCGCACGGAGCTGCTTCGCGATGGGGTGGTCGCCGTCAAGTGGATAAGATTTGCCCAGAGTTAGGAGGTCATTCCCACCACTTAAAAGTATGGTTTTCAAACAAACATGCGGGATCCCAGTCGAAGGAGCGGGACTATATCTCTCCCGTAGGCTTTCCCAGGAATTTGAAGGCGTTAGAGGGTCCTGGAAGGGTTTACTTGGAGTGTAACCTGATAGGGATGAGTCCAGAGTCCGGGAAAGGGGTGCAGTGGGACCGAAGTGAGGGGGTGGGAGTGGGGCTCTTCTCGAAGCATTCGGCTGTAGCCAGCGTATGGTGGTAGAGTCTGTAAACCTGCCGCACCGAGACAAACGCAAATAGAAACAGTTGTGAGAGCAAGGAATTTGGAGCCGGGAGACAGAAAACAGTGGGACACAACTCTGCCGCCTCTTCTTTGCCACCTCAATACACTGGCCTCCTCTCCTTCCTCCTGTCTTGTCTTCCATTGGTCCAGAAAGTGTGGAAGTGTGGGGAGTTGCCATGACAACTCTGTCCTCTTACTCCTTCGGCTCTTTATGCCAAAATGGTGGGGGCAGGGTGCAGGGTGCGGGGAGGAGTGCGACAGGCGGAGAAAGGGGGGCTGAAAGGAGGCAATAAAAGATACGGTTCATTCCCCATTCAGCTCTTTTCTCAAAACCCGTATGTACTTGCCTGGCCTCCCCGCCAGAACCCAGAAAAATGCTCCCTGAGAAGGCTGAGTCCGCGCCACCCCTCCCTGCCCCCCTAGTCCAGGAACTTTGGGGGCGGATGCTTCACATGATGGGGCCAGGGTGAGCTCCTCTCAGGCGGCCAGGAGCACATGGGAAGTCTCCAGGGTTTCGATCCTATGCCTGCCGGGCCGGCCCTCCCGCGCCGCCCACGCAGGGCCCACTTGGGTGAGGGCGGAGACCGGACCGCCCCGGGCCCTGGGGGCGGAGCTTGGACGCAGAGCTCTCCGCCACACCATGAACCGATGCCCTCGCAGGTGCCGGAGCCCGCTGGGGCAGGCAGCGCGATCTCTCTACCAGCTGGTGACTGGGTCGCTGTCTCCAGGTATGAGGAAGGGAAGGGAGGGGCAGGATCCTTCAAAAAGTGAGCGAAGTGGGGTAGGAGCTCCGCAGAGGTAGGGAGGGAAGGGCCCCTCACATAGATGGAGGGAGCAACATCCCTCCAAGAAAAGAGCTTCCCAGGCAAGATCCCGGACAGAAGTGGAGCAGGGGATGGTCCTCCTTACAGAGTAGGAGGAAGACAGCGCTCTTCAAAGCGCTGTCTTCAAAGGAGAGGGGCATCGAGGTCCCTCACAATGGTGGAGGGGGCAGGGCTTCTCACTGAAGGCAGTGGAGGGGGCCTCAAGTGAGGAGCAGGGCGCCTCCCAGGGATGAAAGGAGGAGGCTTGCGGCAGATCAGGGAAAAGGTTCAGCTATTTCCTGCATTTCTTGGCTGAAGGGGTCTTAAGATGAAGGGTCAGTGTCCAGAAGGAAAAAACCCTGAGATGGGCCTAGACCGACATGAACTCAGCTAGTGAGTTCATGCATGATGTGGGATGGGTAGACTTGTGTGGCTTAAGGATTGTGTGTCTCTGTTTTCTCTCTCTCTTGGAGTGTATATTAATGGGATTGTGCATTACTAAGTTGTGCATCACTGGGCTATGCATGGCTCAGTCTGTGTCTCCGTGGGGTTGTGATCACTGGGATTCTGTGACACTGAGACTGTGTGTACCTGGAGTTCTGTACTTTAGGATTGGGTTGAGGGTTCCTGAGTCTCTAAGTTAGTTGTGTAGCCTTTGTGAGGTTGTACCTTGGTGTGAGATTTGTGGAGTGTATGAGGTGTGGATTGTGTGTATCCCATGGCACTGCTGAGGTGTGTTTCCTTATGACTGCTTGGGCAGGGCCCACAGAACCCAACATCCCCTCTGCACCTGGCCTCAAACAGACCAAAACAACCTGGTCCTGTGGCATTCTGAGATCTGTCATTTTCTGGCTCTCTCCATGGGTATCCACTTGAGCCCCTGGAGTATAGGTAGGGCCTGTGGCTTCTCCTTGCCATCTATCCCCCAAAAGGAGGGTAGATGGATGGTCCTGAGCCAGAACCATACCTGGAAATCTTCTGGGGAGCATATAACCTCCAAGCCCCCTGCTTGGGCCTGTCTCCAGTGACAGATGGCTGGAGCCAGGCAGGGCCAGCTCTCAGTCATTGTAGGCATGACTTCCAGGACCTAAAATAGCCCCAATGTCTAGGGAGGTCATTAATCACCCAATGCAACTGGGGGCTGCAGTGTCTTTGGCCTAGCTGGGAATGGTGTGGGTCTGGGGGACTGAGAGAAGGGCTTTGAGGTCCTCACTGGCCGGGTTAACAGTGGCAGTGGGGGTGGGACAAAGGTAGACTGTGGAAGGTGGGACAGTTGCATAGAGTGGGTTCCCCCACAAGGCGGTGTTACTCACATTTGAACTGGGGGAGATAAATAACTAAATGATACGAATATCTCTGTGGTAAGACATGAGGGATATGGGGAAGGCCCACCTCATGCCTCGAGATAGTTTTCCCTTGAGTTCCCACTCTGCCAAATTGCTTCCATTGAGATTTTACTTTGAGTGAAGAGCTAAATTCGTGGCACAGGGATGCTTGGGGAGGACGGATCTGGCAAGTTTCTCACAGAACCCGAAGACTTGAGAATTCTCTGAGTGGGGAGAAGAGAGAGCCTGGAAAACAACTCGCTCTTTCACTCCTGACAGACTCGGCCACAGGATGCCTGGCTGATCTAGGACCATGAGTCCTGGCGGGGTTGGGTCAAGGTCTCTGAGAGTTGAGAGTGGGAATTAGGAAAAGGAGGGGCCAGGGCCAGGGCAACTGACTGCAAGTTATCAGCAGCAGGGAGCAAGGAGGTGCTGTTGTGGGGCCCCTTTCCATTCAAATAGTCTGGCTTGGCATTCAAGATTTCATGGAATCTGACCCTTTTTAATTTTATTACCCATAACTCCCTTACCTAAACTAAGCTGTAGGCCCTAGGATTCCTTGACACCCCACACATACTAGAGAGACTGCCTGAGGGAGCTGACAAATCACTGACTCTGGTTAAACTCACTATTATTATTATTATTATTATTATTATTATTGACAGAGTTTTGCTCTGTCAGTCAGACTGGAGTGAAGTGGCGTGATCTTGGCTCACTGCATCCTCCGCCTCCCGGGTTCAAGCAATTCTCCTGCCTCAGCCTCCCGAGTAGCTGGGATTACAGGCAAGCGCCACCACGCTTGGCTAATTTTTATATTTTTAGTAGAGACGGGGTTTCACCATGTTTGTCAGGCTGGTCTTGAACTCCTGACTTTGTGATCCGCCTCGGCCTCCCAAAGTGTTGGGATTATAGGCGTGAGCCAGTGCGCCCAGCCAAACTCATTCTTTATTAGCATGTCAGCTGTTATCTTGGGAAAAAGATCACTCTTTTTTCCCAAGATAAGCAGGGAGCTTATAATGGCGGGGAGCTTCAATTCCTTCATCTGCAAGATAGGTATACTACCACTCACTCTGACCATGTCAGCTGTAAAAACAGGAATAATAGATCCTACCTCTCAGGTTTATTATGAGGACTAAGTGAGATACTACATGTAAAGTATTGAGGACACGAAATAAATATTGGATAAATATTATCTCTGTTTATTTGTTTGAGATGGGGTCTCACTTTGTCATCTAGGCTGAAGTACAGTGGCATGATCATGGCTCACTGTAGCCTTGAACTCCCACCTCAGCCTCCCAAGTAGCTGGGACTGTAGGTATGCGCCACCATGTCAGGCTGATTTTTTTTTTTTTTTTTTGAGAAAGAGTCTCGCTCTGTTGCCCAGGCTGGAGTGCAGTGGCGTGATCTCGGCTCACTGCAACCTCCGCCTCCCAGGTTCAAGCAATTCTCCAGACTCAGCCTCCCCACCACGCCCGGCTAATTTTTGTATTTTTGGTAGAGATGGGGTTTCACCATTTTGGCCAGGCTGGTCTCGAACTCCTGACCTCGTGATCCACCTGCCTCGACCTCCCAGAGTGCTAGGATTACAGGCATGAGCCACCTCACCCAGCCCAAGCTAATTTTTTATAGAAGTGGAGTTTCGCCATGTTGCCCAGGCTGGTCTGGGACTCATGATCCAACCTCCTCAGCCTCCCAAGTGCTAGGATTACAGGCGTGAGCCACCCACCATGCCTGACCTCCCAGTTAAGAAGCTTTTGCTATAACTAATTTCATAACCTGCCTATAACAGCTCCTATCACCTATAGGCATCCTACAAATATTTTTTGAATGAGTAGATTCCTTAGAGTTCTCTCAGTGGGGCTGTCTCTCCCTACCCAGTGAGAGCATATTTGGTTCACCTTCATTGCACAAGCACTAGCTCAGAGCCTGGCACTCACTTTGTGTAAGTCCAGGTTTTTTTTGTTTGTGTGTTTTTCTTTTAACATCTTTGCTCTCCCAGGAGGTTGGAATGTATTTGAGGAAACAAGACTGACACAGAGAAATCTGGGTTCAAATCTCTGCTTCATATCCTGTTAGTTTGGTGACCTCAAGCAAGGCCCTTTACCTCTCTGTACCTCATTTACCTCACTAGTAAAATGGGTACAATACTATTCACTGTCCATCTCATGGGGTTGTTATGAGAAGCCATCGAGATAATAGTCTTTGTGGAAATGCTTTATGAACTATTAAGAGCTATAGAAATGTAAGGGGGAGTGTTATGCTGTTAATAATAATGGTGGCAGACACTTATTCACTTATTCAGTAGTTACTGTGTGCTAAGTATTACTCTTTTTTCTTTTTTTTTTTTCCTGAGGTGGAGTCTTGCTCTGTCACACATGCTGGAGTGCAGTGGCATGATCTCAGCTTACTGTAACCCCTGCTTCCCGAGCTCAAGCGATTATCCTGCCTCAGCCTCTCGAGTAGCTGGGATTACAAGCATGTGTGCCACCATCTCTGGCTAAGTTTTGTATTTATAGTAGAGACAAAGTTTCACCATGTTGGCCAGGATGTTCTTGAACTCCTGACCTCAAGTGATCCTCCTGCCTCGGCCTCCCAAAGTGCTGGGATTTCAGACGTGAGCCACTGTGCCTGGCCTGTGCTAGGTGTTATTCTAACAACTGTCCATATATTATTTTATTTTCACCTCCTCAGCAACCATATGGGTTGGGAAACAGGCATACAGAGGTTGAGAGCCCATCCAGTTATTGCAAGTTGCAAAGCTGGGATTTGAAACCAGGGAGTCTGGCACCCTAGTCCACCCTATCACTTACTATGCTACAACAACACCTTTTACTGTTCCCACTGATAACATTACAGAATTCCCTGCTGAATTTTGAGGACTGCAACGACAGGTTACTGGTAGACCACTGAAGGCTGGACGCTCTGAAGGGAAGGGAATTTAAGCTGCCTCTAACAGATAGGTAAGAGGAAAAGCAGAAGGGAGGGCAGCTCTGACAGAGATGGTAAGAGCAAAAACACAGAAATAGGACAGAGTTTGGTGTGTTTGAGCTACAGTGAGGAAGCCAAACTGGCTGAAACAAAAGTACCCTGATGAGGGTAGAGGGAAGAATGTTAAATGCCAGGGGTGGAAGTTGGACAGTCATAGGGAGGTATTTGCTGGTTTCATCTGTAAATCAGTAACCTCTAAGATGTGACAAATGGCAAGCAGTCCCTGAATAGACTTTTTCCTAGGGGAAAGGAGTGGAATAGGCCAAGCCTATTTGAAGCGGTGGCACACGCCTGGAATTCCAGCACTTTGGGAGGCCGACGGGGGCAGATCACTTCAGGCTAGGAGTTCGAGATCAGCCTGGCCAGCATGACAAAACCCTACTTAAAAATATAAAAATCAGGTGGGCGTGGTGGTGCACTCCTGTAATCCCAGCTACTCGGGGGCTGAGGCACGAGAATCACTAGCGCCACCGCACTTTAGTCTGGGTGACAGAGCAAGACCCTGTCTCAAAAAAAGAAAGAAAAAAAAAAAAAAAAAGCCTATGTGAAGCGTCATCTTCCCACCCCTTCCCTGGATGGGGCAGGTCAGGCAGAAGGAAGGGGTATGGTACC